CAAGCTCTCCACTTTTGACGACGATGCTCACTTACTCACTCTCTCTGTCTATATATATATATATCAGTAAGGTTCAGAGTGAGAACTGTTTCTTATCGAACTCATGGCTTGCCGATTATGCACTCATCACCCTTAAGTGAGAACCATCGGGTTGCCATTGAAATTTTGAGTGAGAGCCACTAGAGCTAGTTATGCACTCATCACCTATTCCTGATGGTGACCTTGTTTTCTGTTGGAGACAGAGCCAAACAGAGTATTCTATTAATAAAAGTGGTTATCTCATGTTGAAGATAAAAACTAGGTTTTGCATAAGCATAAGTTTCTTAAACTAACCATGTGGGGGCCGTGCTCATATGACTATCTTAACTGAGAAGGCCATCCATGAGAATCAATGGAGAGGCAATGTAAAGAGATATATTACCTTTTGGCCAAATTTGTTTCTATGATAAAACCCATGCTTATGATACCTCCTTGGACAATGAAGGTTCTTATTTGTCTCCATCTTCATAAGCTCTATATGTGATATCCTTTTGAGTTACGTGTTCTATTACTAACTAACTCACTAACGTTTATACTCTCAAACTTTTGATAAAATGCCCCCAACCATTACGTATTTAATCAAATACATAATGCTTGTGCTTTTCCTATCTTTCTTGTGCTTTTTTAGGAAATTCTCCCCCATTTAATTGGATGGGCTAATTATATTGTTCATCCTTGCAATATCACTTTTAATCAACAAAAGTGCTTATCCTGCCCCATTTAAAAGAAGCGTTTGACAACCCTTAAAAGTACTTTTAAAAAGTATTTTTTCGTAAAACGAGACAAACTCCTCCATATATTTACTTTATAAACTGTAAAAGTACTTTTGAAATCATAATTTGATTTCCATCTAAATATAGTTAGGCGAATCACGATAGGATCGTGGCAAAGGCAAATGATAATGATCGAAGGTTGTCATATCATTGAGAACACTAGAGTGATGAGGTTGCAGCAACCAGAGCAGAAGCATAGTTGGCTTTGGCCTTTCGGCTGTGGAGGGAAGATGCCAAGGGAAAATTACTGTAGAGTCCCACAGAAGAGAATTTACTACTGAAAGGTCCCATGAAATCATAAAATGTATATGAGGTCCCAAGGGACTTTATGGCAAAAAATTTCAAACGTGCAATTACTTTCTTGCCCTTCTGATTAAAGAAAGAAACTGAAGCACACGATTGAGAGAAAAACTCCTATCGATTGTCATCTTCATGAAATCCGCCGCCGTCTCGTTTGTGTCCATCCTTGTGTGCTCCGACAGCTTCAATCTCCGGCGAGGTCTGTCAGTGTCTGCTCGGTACATTGTCGCTCGCTGCTCCGCACTCCATCGGTCTCTGGTCCACACTCAGTCGGTCTCTAGTTGGATGCCTCCAATCTCGTGCACGGTCCGTCGGTCATTGGTTCGCACCCCACTACCAGTGAGCCTCGTGGGTTCCATCATCGATGACCTTCACACCCCACCGCCGGTGAGCCTCTCTCTCTTGGTATATCATATTGATATTATCTATTACTGGTATATTTAGGTGAGGCGCTTCTCAGTTTCAGAGCAACAGTTGGCTATTGTGTAAGTTGTATTATTTAAATTTCGAAATAATGTTGGCTATTGTCAATTGTTGTGCATAAGTTGTTATTACAGTGATCGAAGGTTGTCATTAACGACCCCATGACCTGTCCTGTTATGTAGGATGGAAGACTTATGTAAGTTGTATTATTTAAATTTCGAAGTAATGTTGGCTATTGTCAATTGTTGTGCATAAGTTGTTATTACAGTGATCGAAGGTTGTCATTAATGACCCCATGACCTGTCCTGTTATGTAGGATGGAAGACTTGTGTAAGTTGTATAATTTAAATTTCGAAGTAATGTTGGCTATTGTCAATTGTTGTGCATAAGTTGTTATTACAGTGATCGAAGGTTGTTATTAACGACCCCATGACCTGTCATGTTATGTAGGATGGAAGATTTCTGTAAGTTGTATTATTGAAATTTTGAAGTAATGTTAGTTATTGTCAATTGTTGTGCATAAGTTGCAATTACCTAAGTGGAGCGATTCCAAATGAACTAGGAAACCTATCACAGCTTAGAAGTTCGTGAGTGCAGTATTTTAATGTAGTTTCTGGTTCATTTCATCCAATTTATGTTGTTATAAGGATGGACAAATCTCATTCATTCATCATATTCCTGTATTTTCTAGGGTTATATCAAGTAACTCCCTCAGTGGGAATATACTATTCTTTATATGTTGTAATTGGTTACTCTGTATCTTGTCATTTACTATCCTGTATGTTGTCATTTACTACTCTATGTTGTCATTCACTAGTATGTACGCTGTCAACTGCTTATTTGTGTGTTGTGATTAGTTGGTGTGAAGGTTGTTATTGTCTTGTGTGCAGGTTGTCATTAGCCTCTGTTAGTTTGTCGCTTGCTTATGTATAGGTTGTAATTTCCTGCTGTTCTTGTTGTCATTCGGTTTAGCGTGGATTGTCATTGGCTGCTGTGTATGTTGTGAATGTCACAAATGTAGGTTGTGATTGTCTGATGTGTAGGTTGTAACTGTATGCTTTGCATGTTGGATGCTTGTAATCCCCTCAAGAAATCCATGACTTGAAGGTTGGATGCTTGTGGTGGCTTGTAACTTATCAGAACAACCTGCATGGTGATCAAGTGCTGTCTTTGCTACGAGGAAACTCCCAAAGCAAGAAGAAGAAATAAACGATGAGCATAGATTGTATTTAGTTTTTTTTATTTGACAGCTGAATGTAAAGTTCAGATTTTGTTTCTTTATTTGACCATGTAGTAATAGCTAGATGTTAAGATATGTTAATGTGTATTGACATCATTTACTAATTATGAAGTTTTTGTAATGACATTCATGTGTTTTGACAAAACAGAAAATTCTTCGTTCCACACACGGATCATGTCCACAAATGCAGACTAAATAAAACTGGATAAACAAATGGTAACCATGATGACATGATAGGCATATATCACAATCATCTCTGCTACATCCATTTACAACCTCAACGGGGATTGTTGACAACCCGAAGACAAGTGGTTAACAACCTGGGCAGTGTCCCTGACAAATCACTCTGTGGGATGCCACAGCTTCTAAATAGATTGTATTATCAGCATATATAACGACCTTAAAAAAAATTAAGAGCATTTTAAAGTTATTAACAGCTTTAATTGAACCCAATAGGATTACAGTAGATTTTTACTACAGCAATTCATTTACAACCTCAACAGTGGGTGTTGACAACCTGAAGAGAAGTGGCTAACAACCTTCGCAATGGGCCAAACAAATTTGTATGAAAACTTATCAGCAATGCTGTACCTATATAGTGCTTGTCTAAGGGCTACTGCATTAGGAAAAATTTATTCTTCTCCAATAACCAGACCCTTTCACTTTGTTGAATTCCTTTCCGAAATTGGGGTTGGCATCATTTCTGAACCACATGGCAATGATAGTGGGTCTTCACTAAACACATTAGGTGGAGACATGGACAATGCATCTGAACCTTCGAACAAGTCTTCCATCCTACATAACAGGACAGGTCATGGGGTTGTTAATGACAACCTTCGATCATTGTAATAACAACTTATGCACAATAATTGACAATAGCCAACATTACTTCGAAATTTAAATTATACAACTTACACAAGTCTTCCATCCTACAATAACAGGACAGGTCATGGGGTCGTTAATGACAACCTTTGATCACTGTAATAACAACTTATGCACAACAATTGACAATAGCCAACATTACTTCGAAATTTAAATAATACAACTTACACAAGTCTTCCATCCTACATAACAGGACAGGTCATGGGATCGTTAATGACAACCTTCGATCACTGTAATAACAACTTATGCACAACAATTAACAATAGCCAACATTACTTCAAAATTTAAATAATACAACTTACACAATAGCCAACTGTTGCTCTGAAACTGAGAAGCACCTCACCTAAATATACCAGTAATAGATAATATCAATATGATATACCAAGAGAGAGAGGCTCGCCGGCGGTGGGGTGCGAAGGTCATCGATGATGGAACCCACGAGGCTCGCTGGTAGTGGGGTGCGAACCAGCGACCGACGGACCGTGTACGAGATTAGAGGCGTCCAACTAGAGACCGACTGAGTGCGGACCAGAGACCGACGGAGTGCGGAGCAGTGAGCGACAATGTACCGAGCAGACACTGACAGACCTCGCCGGAGATTGAAGCTGTCGGAGCACACAAGGATGGACACAAACGAGACGGCGGCGGATTTCATGAAGATGACAATCGATAGGAGTTTTTCTCTCAATCGTGTGCTTCAGTTTCTTTCTTTAATCAGAAGGGCAAGAAAGTAATTGCACGTTTGAAATTTTTTGCCATAAAGTCCCTTGGGACCTCATATACATTTTATGATTTCATGGGACCTTTCAGTAGTAAATTCTCTTCTGTGGGACTCTACAGTAATTTTCCCAGATGCCAATGGAAAATGTCATAGGGAGGTGGGAAATGAACAGTGCCATTTGCATGTGCGAGAAGTGTGGGGAAGGGAACGATAGATGTTGAGCAATGAGCAAAAGAGAGAGGGGACAGCTTGGTAAATCTAACGAAAATTTTTGACAGTGTGAGTTGAATTTAACAGCGAGTGACAGATTTAACAGTAGAAAGTTAAAAGATTTAATAAAAAGAAAAAAAAATTGAGGGACCTGATCCAAAATAAAAGAAAATTATAAGAATTTTCAAATTAGTTTTTCCTAAAAGTAAAAAAACCAGGTTCCCGGCCCAGTGCATTGGAACGAGTGGTACGACACTGCAGGCGTCGTTTTATTAACTGAATTGTTTTCTACCGTTGGATCAAATTGACAGTTACGATTTCGCAACTCGTTTTGACTGCGCAAAAGCGACCACGGGAGAAACCGAACGCCTATACGGTCCGTTGAGAGTTGAGACTTGAGACTAGGGAGTAATGCCTTTATCCACAAGTTCAGAAATCGCGAGGATATGAAGTGAACGGCAATGGCTTTAGTAGCTTCATCTTCATCGTTTTTCTCTGCCCTCACTCATTCGCATATTCCTCCATGGGGTGACAGAAACAAAAGGAGGTCCAATTTTCTGAGGATCATCCCTCGCTCTTGTCTCGACGACAGTTCCTCTCTGTCCCAAGCAGCTCAATACACTGTATGATTTTCAGTTCAGCATTAACTCCTAAAATCTCTGTACAAATGGTGTTTTTCTCAGCATTTGCATTAACAGAAGCGGACAATGGCTCACATTTTATTTTGGGCGATGTGTTCCCCTTGTTGGTTAAAGCACTATTTGATGACAGTTATTTTTGTTATGGATGAAATTCCCTTTTTGTCGGTTAAATCTTAAACACTTGCGCTGCTTATATTTAACTAAATAGTGAAGTATTGAAATGATATTGGCCTCTTACTATTCTTCTCTTTAATTGCTCATTTCTATGAATTGATTAGTGATATGTTCTTCATTACTAGGTGGATACATACGTAAAAAGTGGCATGATTGTAGGATTGGGGTCTGGTCAGGCTTCTGGTTTGGCCATTAGGCATTTGGGCCGGCAACTTCATACTGGTGCTTTAAAGGATGTAGTAGGGATCCCTATGTGAGTTTAACACCCTTGTAGAACTATAATTGACGTTTTAATATCATACATATGCCAATTTCAACTTTGTGTTTCTCGGCCTTTTTCACGCTTCTTTCCTTTGAATTCTTATTGTTTTAGACAAAGCTTATGACAAGTTTGGATCACTATTGCTCTGATATGCCGTACTACTTCCAATTAGTAACTTGGTGCTTGTTTGGCATCACCTATACAAGCACTTGTAAATATGTTTCACGTAAACTGGAACAAAACTCCTCTCACATACTTATCTCATATTCCACAAATCACAATTGAAAAGCTGCTTATAAGTTATTCAAATGATTCCTTAACATTTAATTTCCACCGAATCAGGTGAGATAGATGCTTTGCTCTGTGCAGGTCTGTCGCAAGTGCAAGTGAGGCAGCGAAGGCAGGAATTCCACTGGATAGCTACCAAGAGGGTTCTCAAGTGTGCACAAATGACTCTCCTCTTATACATTTTCCACTTTTGTTTTGCGAGTATGTCTTGTTTAATAAGGCTGAACATATGCTAGAAACTTTAGCAGGGCTTTATGACGTGTAAGCATTCCTTTGTGAAGCCTTTGCCAACATAGAAGTGTCCGAATTAAATGCATTTCTTGAAACCTCTTTTGAAACAATGGATGTTAAGTCAAGAAGAACATTAGACTAATTCTAGACTATGGTGTTGATGACCTAAAAAGTTAAGTGGATTAGTAATTCTGTGCTATTTTATGCTGAAAACTTAGTATTGCTTCATGCATACTTTCTCTGTGTGCAGATTGATTTTGCATTTGATGATGCTGATGTTATAGAAGAAGGATCACTAATTGCTGTCATTGGACGCCGTAAATTGCATGGTGAGGAATCTGTACTAGAAAAGAAGGTGGGTTGCTATAACTTGCTTTTTTTTTTTTTCCCTGGTGTTTCTTCTTGATTTTGTCTAGATGAATGTTCATTTTTGGCAATTGAAATTTTGATTTTCCTTTTGTTTCAGTCCATACTAAATGCTTCCAATAAACTTGCATTCATTATTGAAGAAAACCAGTACAAAGGTGGTCTGGAGGGTTCTATTCCTGTTTTAGTTCAGTCTGTAAGTGGATGTGCAAATTTTTGTGTCAATGATATTTTCCCGCGTATACATTAGTAATAATATATTTTTATCTTTTCCTAGTTAGACTGGTTGGAAACTGCTGAAGAGATTGATGATATGTTCTTGGGCGATGCTGAGGTTTGCTAGACATACAAACATTTCATAAGTTTTGTCTCACACATAATGGGAAGTGCTATTGATTTTTCTGTGATCTGGAGATTAAGAATGTTATGTCTTATTTCTAGCTTTCCTGACTTCATAAAAAGTTATGGACTTAAAAATCACCAGAATTTGTTTCCAAGGAATCTATTTGCTTTTGTATATAGGGTTTAGGGTTTAGGGTGTGATTTGTTAATTAGTTTCATGAAGGACTATGCAGTTACAGAAGTTATACAATATGACGGAAAAAATCAAGGAAACCCCCTACTTGTACTATTTGATGATATATTCAACTTCCCATGTGAAGAAATGTGTATCTATATTCTTTTGACTATGATTTATCTCCACATAAGAATATTACTGCTTATTCACTGGTGCTTTGTTATAACACCTGCATGTCCTGATTGTCTTCATGGTTTATCACTGTAAACAAAGGTCTGGAGAAGACCATCTATAGGGCAAGCTGGGCCCCTTGGAGGTGACTTCCCACTAGTCACCAAAGAAGGACATAATTTGCTCGATGTTATTTTTACATCTCCAATTGAAAGCCTCGGTAAATTCTTAGCCATGATGACTGTTTCAAACTCCATTTCTCAGTTTTCTCTGTTGTCGATCGTTTTCGTCTCAATTTCTATTTGCAGCTAAAGTGGCAGAAAACCTCGATACAATTAAGGGTGTTGCAGGGCATGGAATCATTTCAAAATTTCCGTTAGTTTTCTTTGACCTCCTATACTTTTTAGATTTTCTAACTTGCGCACTTATTTGTGTTTCTTCTGGAATCTGCTGCAAATTATTTAGAAACACAGGATGAATTTTTTCTTTAAGTCGTTTGTCCTAATTATAGCCTTTGCCTGAGCTTCTTGTGATTGACACAATTATGGAGTGATGAGCCTTTGTTAATTTCACGTGAGACTGAAAATTATTTGCAGTAAAAGATTGACTTGGTATATGGTTTAAGATTTTTAAGAGGCGCACATGTGATTTTCTCATAATAAACTGTTATAGTTCAGTTGAAAGGTGCCGTGATTATTTTGCCATAGCATCAGTTTTCTTCAAGCCGTAATAAATGGCAAAAGAGATAATATTATTATGCTAATATTAGACAACATATTAAAACGCTGGCGTACTTCAATGGCCAACTTGATAAATTAAGCAAAAGAAGTCTAGCCATGTAATTCTCCAAGTAGCCTTGTTAGTGTAGAACCAATGGGAAATTCACATAGAACTTCTTCAAAGTTTTAAAAATCTCACATTATTGATCAATGAGAAAGGGGTTTATGATAATGACTAGCTAGAGTCCTATCCATAAGCAGCTGAAATAAGATATGCTAATTCTACTAGATTACTCATTACTACAATAATTATCAATCCTAATAAAATTATATGATGGGACCATTTCCTACCTCGGACAGCAAGCTTATTAACTAATAACTAACCTAACTAATTCTAAAATTGCCTCAATATGATTAAATTAATAATTATCTCAACTGGTGACAAATTTATACCTAATAGTATGTTTTGAGATTACTTGCAGGCAGTAGCATTGCTCCTTGACCAATAGGGAGGGAGCATTATTAGAAGATCTAACTAGTGAACCTGATAACTAACCTATATATTCCTAAGATTTCCGCAATATGATTAATGACAAATTAATATTTATCTCAAATGGTGAAAAATTAATAATTAATCGCATATTTTTAGTTGTAGGCTGTAGCATTGCTTCTTGTAGAAGATGGTTTGCATAAATAGTAATGAACTCAAGCTACAAAAGCTGACCGAAATGACTTGATTATAATCAATGACAGTTTTTCACATTTTCCATGAATGAAATTGAATACTTTTAGTACCACTAAATTGAATTTTTTTTAGCTTTAAGTGTCAGATATACAATGTTAGATCCTGGCTTAAATAATGCTGATGCCTTTGGAAAGACTTACATCGGTTACATAGGCATTTGTGCATGATCTGGTGTTGCTTGTCACACACTACTGGTGTTTCTCAGATTCGATGAAATCTATTGTTTTAATTCTAATAAAGGCATTCCATTTTGTGTGTCCGAAATAAAAATCTGATTCGCCAAAAAGAGGTAGCGATAAGATAAATAAGCAGGGAAATAACAATGATCCACGTAGGGAGGGGAGCATTACTAGAAAATCCAATAGAGATTATAGCCTCTGTTGAAATGAATGGTTGAATTATTTGCTTTACAAACACAACATTATATAAAATGTCACTTCTAGTATAATATTTAATATATAAAATTAAAAACATATTAAATTAATTATAACTGATTCGACCACAGTCTGGTCATTAGCCCTTGAACGAGTGTCATGAATTGATCCAGCTTTTAAAACCTTGGAATTAACTCACTCAATAAAAAATATATAAATTATAATTTTCGAAGTGACTTACATTTTTTCAGGGATCCTTTGCTGCATGGTTATTGTGATTAGAAATTTATTTAAATTTTGAGCTTAACATCTATAAGTAATGATCATTCTTGTATTACTTAGGATACATACAACTCAACTTTTAAAAAATTTTATTCAGTATCTTTCAAATTAATTCTCAAATCCTTGAAAGAAAATAATGCTAAACAGCTCCTTATTGGGTAATGCAGGTGCACAGTGGTAATTGCCTCCCAGGATGGGCTCAATGTGGTGGATAAATTGACAGAAAAGGTAGTGGGATGAGAATTTGGATCAGAGTGATTCATGAAGTAAACGGAGAGATAAAGAGGTGGGTCCTATTTTTGTAAATTCACTTTTAGAACCATTCCCTCTCTATTTTCATTTTTCCCCCCTTCATTTGGCCTAAAAGTGAGTTTAGATTATCAATATTTAGTTAGTTATAATATCATATTATGTAATATAGATCTGTGGCAGCGCATTTTGTTTTTCTTTGTTTTTTTTCCCTTTTGGTTTCTTGTCTGCCTCTGCAAGTGAGATAAATAGGCAATAAAGTATAGTGCAGTTAACATAAGAATTTGGTTTACAAAGAAAAGTTAATAAGAATGTGACCCATATCTTACAAGCACTTGTATTTATATTCCATTACTGTTATGACAACCTTGTTGATAAATAATATTGAAAAAAGGGGCAAAAGGTGAGATAAATGGGAAATAATAAAACAGACGACAATCTAAATTTTAATTTGAATATTTCAGATATAAGTATGAAGATAAGCATCGAATCTAATTTCCAAAAATAGGGGAAACAGCTAAAATTTAAAGTGCAACAACGTTTATTCTATCCCATAAATGCTGGGAATAAAGATCCACTTACATGAGAATAATTTTTCGGAAAAAATCGTAGTAAATGATGATGAACTAAATTACACAAAACTCCTATGAATTTAAATTTTGGATCATGTACAAGGGACAAAACTTAATTATATATTCCCTTAAACCTTATTTTTGTGGGCAATATAACCTAACAAAATTTAATTGATTTGTAGATAATCTCTCCAAATTTTAAGTTGTGTGTGGAGTTATTTGCATAAACGCAATATCACAAACTTTCAAAAATTGCGCAGGTTATCTTATTATCTATGCGTAATCCAAAATTTGAAGGGTTTAATTTAACAATAAAAATGATTTCCTTGTCCAAAAAAAAAAACCTACAAATTAAACCAACGACTAAGGCTGACAGCTACCTTCGGCCCAACAAATAAAGGAGACCAACAAATAGAACTACACGCAGATTAATCCCCCAAAAAACAGAAAGAAAATTAAAAAAAAAAGGAAAAAAAAAAACACAGAGAGAGAGAGAGGAGAAGAAGAAGAAGCTTGAACTATAATATTGGGAACTCGTCATAATTACCAACATATTTTGCTTTTCCTCTATCTATATGGCATGGATTGATTGGAATGTCCTTCTCAAGTGGCCAGTCTGAAACAGTCTTCAGAGTTAATTGGTTTATGTCAATTCTCATTCGGAAGAAAGTACCAATTACATCAATCAGGTTGATTCATTTCTGGAAATTATTACTCCATTGGTTGTTGATCTTTGTCATTTGTTAATTTGTTGCGTCAATCGGTTGGTTCATTTAAAAAAAAAGAAGATATTATTCAGTTGGTTGATATTTTAGCATTGTTATGTCGATTGGTTGGTTGGTTGATGAAAATTATTCCTTGATTGGTTGGTTTTTAGCTTTGTCAACTACTAACAAATTGACATGATTATGAAATATTTTGCTTGCCAACTATTATGAAATTTGAGAGTTCAAAAAAAAATAAAAGAAAGGGACGATAAAATGATTGCTGGTTTGAAGGTAATGTGACTTCATTCAGTGACAGACTAAAAGTCGAGAAAACTGGTGTAAGTCTTGAAAATTAGAATGATTAGTTAAAAAAGGGGGAAGGACTTTAATGTCAACAATATTATAGTAGTTTCTGCATTTATACCAAATCGAAAATCAATTGCACTATTTATGATTTTTAACTAATATATTTAAAATTAAAATTCTATCTCTCACTTAAATACAGTACTTCCTTATTTTTTTTAAAAAATACTTTAAAAAAAAGAATTGCATAATTATTTAGTAAAATTTTCTAATACCTTGGTTGACAAAATGTAAGTTTGTTGCAAACTTGCAGGCATAGCAAGTGACATAGGAGTATTTGTTAAAAGTCTTCATTTGCAAGCCATCCTATCTATTAAATATATAAATTTAATTTGCATATGTTAAAAAAATTAGTTAATTAATTATTCGATAAAAAACATATGTTGATTTTTTTAAATTTATGTTAATTATTTACATTGAAAAATACTTCATCAATAAAAAAAAATCCTCCCAATACGTGCTATTAATTAAAAAAAATTTACGAAAAAAGTTATGAATTTAGAAGAGAAAATAAATTAAAATCTTATATTTAGGATAAAAATAAATCATTATGTTAATTCTTAAGTAATATTGCTTCATTTTGTAAACCATATGCTTCCTTCATTTTTTTTCTAGAAAAAAAAAATTTGATCAAATTACATGAATAAAAATATTATTTAAAATTAATTAAGGATAAGAAATATATAAAATTGTTAGTTTTTCTTTAAAATATACTTATTTATGGGGGAGAAACTTTAAAAGAGGATAAGAAAATGAATGAATGGCTTTGTTTTCAATTAAAAAAATGAATGGTGCTTAAAAAAATAATATAATAAATATATTGAGTAATAAAATAAGTAATTAATAGAGTAAAGTTGGGGGGAAGAAAGATACTAAAATACCCTTAAAAATGCTAAAGAACGAATTAGGGTGGATGGATTTTAAAATTTCAAATGAGACCTCTTATACTATTTTATAATTTTAAAATATTGTGAAACGACAATGTTGCTCTTACTCCTAGTAATTACTTTTATTTTTTTTTTTATTATTTTAATTTTACTACTTTTGCTTTTAAAGTACTGATGACTACTTTTGTATAGCTATTAATTACACAATAGTAAGAAATAACTAAACAAAAAGTAGTCACTAAATGTCCAATAACACTTAATGCATTTTTTGAATTTTTAAAACAAAGGTCGTTAATAGAGAAACTAAAACAGTCAATAACTAAATAAGAATAGTCACCTAATTTTAAAAAATAAAAGTAATCAATCATAGTATTAGAGTAGTTAGTAGCTAAAAAAGGGTAGTTATCGGAGTTCTAAAAACAAATATAGTCGATAACTAAAAAAGAGTAGTCAATACATAAAAAATAGTAGTTACCGGAGCTCTGACGACCAGTCACAGAGTTTCAGTGACATGTTGCCAAAGCTCTGACAACCAAAAACCGACTAAGGGTGCTGAGGGAACAATATTTAAAAAAAAATAGTAAATGGCATTTGCATAATTTTGCAAGATTTGAAAATTTCAAAATAATATAAGGTGTCTAAATTAAAATTTTGAAATTGGCCCACATTTATTTGTCATTTAACAATTTTCAAGTATTTTATTGTCTTTCTCCCAAAAATAAAATAGAAAACTAACCAAAAAAAATTAAAACATTTTATAAATATTTTTATGAATAAAGAAAAAGGAGAATCTCAATTAAATTCTCTTGAAATATTAAAATTCAAATTAAAGCCTGCAATTTTAACAGATCTATAATTGGGCAAGACACTTTATTAGGGATTTTTAAATGTTATTAAAAGGCTAAAATAACCCTTTAAGTTAGCAAATTGGTAATTGCTCCAATCAATTTATGATCTATCTTCTTCTTTTCTTTGAAATGTCTCCAAGTGATCCATCGACTTCACACATTCTTACTCCATATGTTATTTAAAAAAACTAAAACGTATGATTTTTTTATATAAATTTATATTAAACAGAACATATTACTCCATCCGTCCCATCGAATATTGAAAAAAATTATTTAGATTTTTAATACAAGTTTATATTAATTATTAGTATGAATTTAAGTAATGAGATTATAAGATATAACATGATGAGATTATCTTTATGGCAGATTTGATGCTCAAATCTACTAATACATTAAGATTTTAATTTTTTAACTATAAGAAAAAATTTTCCTTCAAAAAAATTAATAATTTAATAGTATCAGAATCAATGTTTCCATTACCAAAAAAGGTCCGTATTACCACAAGGTTCTTGTCAATATACTAGGGTTAATATAAAATATTATATTTTGCATGGTCACTTTTTTGCTCCTAGTATTTCCAAATTTTCTTATGTAAAACATTTTTTATAAATAAATACTAAACATTTCATTGTTTAATTTTATTTTTTTCAAAATAATATTATTTAAAACTATAAAAAAATATTTTAGTTTTTTGACGAGATTCAAAAATTTTTAATGAGACCCTATCTTGTTGAAACTGAAATTAGACTTGCCGACATACTTAGCATCTCTCAAAGTACTAAAACACCCTTCATTGTTAATTATCTGACGGTGAGGAACAAAAGGCCCTGCACAACAAATCGTACCATGTTCCTTGTCATTCTAAAAGTGGGCCCTACGCCTCTTCTATCAAATATCATGGCAGCACCCGACTCTATTTAATTTTTAAATTATTGCTTTATTTTCACGTGAATTTGGGCCGACATTTTTTAAAAAACAATACACGAATTCTTTTTTCAGTGATTGTTTCTCTCCCGTCCCGTGACATTTCTTTGGCAGGTTTTCTCCCATGACATAGGGTCATCATATAAGCCTTATTATTGTTGTAGATGTTGTTATTATTACTATTATTATTACTATTATTATTATTATTATTCTCCATTCAAAGAACATAATTCCCTTGCATGTGTTGAATGATAATGTTTTCATTATTTAAAAAAAAAATGATAGCATGATTTTATGATGACAAATGTTGAACTCCTCTTTTTGTGATTGTCTCTACCAAGGCACGGTGTCATCATTTAATTTTTTTTTAAATCGTAAATAACCTCTACTCAAATATCATAATGGCCAATAAGATAATACTCAAGCCCTAGGAATGTTTAATTTTTTAGTATGATAATATTTTAACCACCCCACTTTGGTTACTTCTTGGGCCCTAAATACGTCCAAATTTTCATCTTCCTTTTAAGTTTTAATATAAATTTTTAGGTATAATTTACATTCTAAAAACTCTTTCTAGATATATTTTTTATTAAAAGACAATTTTTACTCAAATTATGTTAAAAGATCACATATAAAAGGCTTCCCCATTATTAAAACAATAAAACACCATAATAAAGAGGAAACAACAAAAACAAACATAATGATCAGGACTTTGAAGACTGGCCAAAACTTGATTCCTGTCTCAAACCAACTATAATGCAACCAAATCCGACACTGCTCAAAGTTTCAAAGAGTAGGAGCAGAAATTACTCGGCAACAGCGATGAAACAAAAGATAAGGAAGAACATCATCACGGACCTCCTTTTCTAGATATAGTTAATACACCCTGTAAGATATTTTTGGAGTAATTTCATATTTTTTGGAATAAGTAATTCACGGTTTAGAATGAGTAAATCTATATTTTTGTGAATAAAATGTTTGGTGAGTAAGATTACGAGGACTTACAAG